CAGGGGAACACAGGGGAATACAGGGGAACGCAGGGGATCACATGGGAACGCAGGGGAATGCAGGGGAACGCAGGGGAACACAGGGGAATACAGGGGAATACAGGGGAACACAGGGGATCACAGGGGAACGCAGGGGAACACAGGGGAATGCAGGGGATCACAGGGGAATACAGGGGATCACATGGGAACGCAGGGGAATACAGGGGAATACAGGGGAACGCAGGGGAATGCAGGGGAACGCAGGGGAATACAGGGGAACACAGGGGATCACAGGGGAATGCAGGGGAACGCAGGGGAACACAGGGGAATACAGGGGATCACAGGGGATCTCATGAAAAAACAGGGGATCACATGGGAATACAGGGGAATACAGGGGATCACAGGGGAATGCAGGGGAATGCAGGGGAACGCAGGGGAACGCAGGGGAACGCAGGGGAACACAGGGGAATGCAGGGGAATACAGGGGATCACAGGGGATCTCATGAAAAAACAGGGGATCACATGGGAATACAGGGGATCACAGGGGAATGCAGGGGAATGCAGGGGAACACAGGGGAATGCAGAGGAATACAGGGGAATACAGGGGAATACAGGGGATCACATGGGAACGCAGGGGAATACAGGGGAATACAGGGGAATGCAGGGGAACGCAGGGGAACACAGGGGAATACATGGGAATACAGGGGAACACAGGGGATCACAGGGGAACGCAGGGGATCACATGGGATCACAGGGGAACGCAGGGGAACACAGGGGAATGCAGGGGAACGCAGGGGAACACAGGGGAATACAGGGGAATACAAGGGATCACAGGGGATCACAGGGGATCGCAGGGGAACGCAGGGGATCACATGGGAACGCAGGGGAATACAGGGGAATACAGGGGATCACAAGGGAATGCAGGGGAACGCAGGGGAACACAGTGGAATACAGGGAAATACAGGGGATAACAGGTGATCACAGGTGATCACAGGGGAAAGCAGGGGATCACAGGGGAACGCAGGGGAATGCAGGGAAACGCAGGGGATCACAGGGGAATTTAGGGAATCTTTAAAATAGTGGTGTATAAAGCCGGGACAACTCATGTAGTCCTACACGAAGTACTGACCCTTTCAAGAAAAACAAGATGGCGGTGGAAGAACCGAGCTCAGCTCAAACATTACGGCATTTAGCTTGCTG